TACTATGGAGTTTGGGGGGGAGAGTTACCTTCGGTTGTTTCTAATTCGGTAACAGACTCTTTGGGGCAGGAATTGCCCTCCTGTGCGTGCGTATGCGAGGTGGGATAAGTAGGCCCCAATTCTGAGTTCATAAACGGGTGAAATACGTTGTGAAGTAACTTGATCGAAGTCGGCACAAAACGATTATTTTTTAAAAATTCTATAAAACCTAACTCAGCGAGTTGTCTCTTTGGGGCAGGAATTGCCCTCCTGTGCGTGCGTATGCGAGGTGGGATAAGTAGGCCCCAATTCTGAGTTCATAAACGGGTGAAATACGTTGTGAAGTAACTTGATCGAAGTCGGCACAAAACGATTATTTTTTAAAAATTCTATAAAACCTAACTCAGCGAGTTGTCTCTTTAAATATTCCACTAGTTCTTCAGTTGTCATTCCACGGGAGCGCTTAAATCCTAAACAACAGAGGTCAGCCTGACTGCGTTATCCACACAGCGAGGTAATATATGTAACCGGATCACAAGCAGTATTGCATAGCTAAATGTCTTCTAAGTCCAATTAGAACTGTTAAGTAAGGATTGTTTTGTTTCTGATCTATTATCCTCGAATCGTGTGGCTTACATGTTTCTCACCGAACATACAAACCATTAGCTTAAAAGGGTGTGGAATTGTGATAGCTGCAAGCTGGAGGCAAACCCCTTTTAAGTGGTTTTATTATAGCCTATTTGCTTCACCTGCAAAAAGGGAGGCAGCTGTTGTAAACAGCCGGTAGAGTAAGTTGGTGGGTAGGGTTCCTGGGACTCTGTCCTATCCTGTTTCAGATCTAGCAGTTCAGTACTTCCAGCAAATGTTCTCTTCTTTTTTTATTTCATTCTTAATTTACAGTTGGGAATCGAACTAAACCAAATACAGGTTCTGAACAGGAAACGAATTTCTTAAAACAAGTAAGTAAATATCTAGACAAGAAGGAGAGTTCAGTCGCTGGATTATCTCTCAGGTGTCATGAGTGATCTGTTTGTTCTGAAAGTTGGTGTGGTGCAATGATTCCACTGGCTTAGTGCAGTGACATGTGAGACTAGTCTGCGGTGAAGCTTGAGCAGTAGCAGACTGTGCAGCTAAATCTTCCCTCCTCGCTGCACCGATGCGAGCAAGGAGGGATATGGTTTGTCTAAAAGTTTGGGGTTTTTTTATCAAATTATTTTCTGTTCCTTTTATTGCGTGAATTGGCAGTAAACCTCTATATTCACAGGAAAGGCTTGAGTCCTAAGGTTGTGACCCTCATTTGAGCATTGTATTCTTTTTCTAATGTTTAGCCTTCATAAAGTGCAAATTAATGCAATTTTAAACTGTTGTGATTCATAGCATGTAAATATTTTAGATATTTGGAAATTGTGATATTTTTACAGTTTAAGATGGATTTGCATATATATATGTATTTATGAGTCTGGTAAGTTCTAATGTAATGTTTTTGTATGTTTCCTTCTCTGTTTTCTTGAAGAAAAAAAAAATCAAATTAAATGGTGCGGTGTCCCCTTTGCTCACTTGACCTGACATTTCTGTTACTCAAAGAATACTCTTCTGTTACTCTTCAGAGTTATAGGAATCTGGGTGTGACACTGGTAGTATCAGCCCCTTTTATTTATCTATGGGCATGTTTACTGTGTCAGATTGAGTCAAGAATTTCCTTTAGAAGCAAATGTTGTGACCATCACCATTTAACATGCATTGGCTCACAATTTGGGATGGTCTTGCAGAGTACAAAAGAAACTAAAGCAGAAAATGTACCCTGGGAGCAGACCTAATGCAGTCCAGCTGCTAATAAGCATTCAGTCAATGGTACCAAATTACAGCTAGTCTGACATAAAAGCTGCTGAAGCATGTACAATGTAGATGCGGGATTCTTAACACCAAGTGCTTTACTCTGCACGTCTGTTTGTGTTGAGCTGTGTTGCTTGCCAGTATAGGTACAGCCTTTCAGTAATGCATGTGCGTTTAAGAGTAGTAGTAAGTATATAAGTTGAAGATAGTAAATTCTTGACTGGCATTTCACTTTAAAGAAAGAAGTTCTTCTAGAAGAGACACTGTTCACAAGTATTGTAACTGGTGAAAATGTCGTCGTGGTTTGTGGTTGGTTTTTTGTTTTGGCTTTTTATTCCAAAAAGTGCTGAAAAGCACAGGCTTTTTCTCTTCTGAAAATTCCATGAACTCCTGGGTGCAGTTCACCAGATTCCCTGAGATGTGGGCTTATTTTCCTTTCCTGGTTCAGATTCATAAAATCGTGCAGCAGAAGATAACCACTTTTTTTATTTACAGATCCTTCGATTTGTTTCAAACCTGGACTCAATTGGGTTCTTCTGTTTATAGGGATTTAATCCCCCACCTCCCAGGAACGTAGCTGGGTGGGGCATCCTTTAAGGGGATGCTCTCAATTCCTTATGCTGGTAACATGGAAGAGTCACTGAAGTGGCAAGTGAAAAAGGAGTTACCTTGTCTGGTGTTTTATACAGATGAGAATGTTGCTAAAGAAAATCTACTAGGAAATACTTCATGTCTTGATACTTCTATTTCTATTAAAAAAATTTATTGCAAAGTTTATGTTTGAGGCAGAAAACAGATTCACTTACTGAGATACAGGTGGAAAAAGGGATTTAGATCTTGGTCTAGCTCAAGGAGAATGTCTGGTCTCCGAGACAGGTGTGACTTGCTTCTTTCAAACTATGTGAGGCTGAAGCAGGTCAGCTGTCTGACACGTGGGATTAAGTCACACAACCAAGCACAGGACTATGCTGCAACAGAAGCTGCTGGGTAGTCCAAATCCTGTACCTGACCGGCAAAGTCAATCAGCAGGGGTTTACGATACTGATGTTTCTGCTCCCTCAGATGCTGCCAAGTGTCCAGCCTCATCCCGCAGTGAAGCAGAAGTGCTCCCGAAGAGTCACTGCCAGTTTGAAATTGTTCTTGTTGGTCAAGTCCCCTGAGCTTTCTGACATACAGAGTGTGTGAAGATTACCCTGTGTAGATGAAAGGATGAGGAAGTTTGCTTTTTTCCCTTCACTCAAGGAATTCTTTCAAGAGCATTTTTTAGTCTGTCTTGTTGATGCTGGTTCATTTCATATTTATTTCCTTATTCATGTCCTCTAAGATTTATTTAGAGCAAGAGAATGAAAGCATCACTTCACCCTGGCAATTAGGAAACTCATTTAGTTTTTGCTCCAGTAGATGATTGATTATATATGTATGACCTGAATCAGGTTGATGGTTTCCCATTTCACAGCCGCCTGCAGCCTTGTGACTGATTGGTATACTCTTGAGTGAAATGAGTGGTGACTCATATCCTGTTAATCCAAAGAGGTGGCATCTAATTTCCTTCTTGTAAGAGCTCTTCCTTGGGTACTTTGTTAAAATGAAGAGATGATGCTTTTTTGGCAGTTTGATACTGCTGTCTTAATTTTCTTTTGCTTTTTTTAGAAATGTACACACATGCACACGAAAGATTAATTTTGGCTTGAAATGGTGTTCTTGAAGAAAAAATACCAAATCTTTTATTTATCTTTTTTCCCCGAACTTTTTTCCATTATAATCTGCTGGAATGGAAAACTAGCTGCTATTACAACACTGCTTTTGATTTGTGTGCTTGTAAAACTTAATTGCTCCAGTTCAAGCTACAGAAAATGTGCCCAGTTAACATTGTTACAAATGTCTGCGGTATTATATGCAACAGAGTTGTTTTGCAAAAATACTTCACTTTGAAAACAGATCCATTATACTTCAGTGAATATGTAATATATGCAAATATGTTTTTCACCTAAGTTGTTTACTGTGTTATCTTTTGATTCATGTCATGCATATTATTGCATGCATGTTTGGCTTGTGTAGTCTGCTCCAGATATCTTACAGAAGCGATTCTGAGAAAAGCTTTGGTACTGTTTATACTAAACAGTCATTAAAACGACACCAGCTTCTTATAGGCCTAAAAATTGCTGACTTTTTCAATAAAACAAAATAGCACTTAAATCATAAAGGACAAAAAGATTTCTCTTTTGTAATCTTACTTTAACTTTCTGTCATTTTAATAGCTGTGAAAGACAGAGAACTCCTGTAAAGCTGTCCATCAAACTGTAGAGATACAATTTCAAAGCAGCATTTTGCATGATGCCAAAGTCCTTGTGAAAATGTTTAACCATCAATACTGCTATGTACCATCTCAATGCTGATACAGGTTCTTCCAAAGCAATATCTTGGTGTTGCTTTCACTTAAAAATTACAACAATATTTTCTGTCCTTCACTGCAGGTACTGTTCTTGAAAAGAACAGAAAACATGGCTTATACAGTGAATGAACTTTAAACTCCTGGACCGAAAACTGAGGGTTTTTTCATCAAGGATGGCAACACCATACGTTCCTGTTCCTATTCCTATTGGAAGCTCATCATCCAGCTTTACAAACAGAAACCAAAGAAGTTCTTCTTTTGGGAGCATCTCGACAAGTTCCAGCTCCTCAAAAGGACAGCTGGAGGACTCTACAGTTGGTAGTTTTAAAAAGATGAGCGTGCCTGACCAGATTGATTCTACATCATCTGTGTGTAGTAGTCCACTTGTTAGGACTAAATTTACAGGTATGGATACATCCATAGAATACTGTACTCAGCCCGTAGAAGAAATAGAGCAGAATACAGATTCCAGGAGCTGGGAAGATCGACCGTCCACGCCTACTATACTGGGTTATGAGGTGATGGAGGAAAGGGCAAAATTCACTGTAAGTTTTGGGGATAGTATAGTTCATCCTGTAATGACAAGATAACAATTGAATGTACTTTGCGTTCTCTTTCAGTAATTAATCCTGCGGTTTAGGGATGTTGGAGTACTTTACAAATACCAATTTAGCTTCAAAGTACTGCCATCTGACAGGAAAATATCATTCCCGTTATACAGGTGGGAAAATTGAGACTCGGAAGCAGTCTTTCCTGTAATTGTGTACGTGGAATAGAAGGAATTTATTCTACTTCAGGTATCAATTTCTCCTGGAAAAGTCAGGAATTCCTTGCAAAGTTACAGTTCCTTGTGAAATTGAATTTGTAGAAGCTCTGCATAGTTAAACATCTGAAATGAAATGTAGTCTTTTATTTGAAATTAATAAGACACCCTGCTATTTGACTTTTACAGTTACTAGTAACATACAACACTTGCATTAAAGTGGAAACACATAGTTTTCAGCTTTTTGCATTGCTAGGTTTAGTTCCTAATAAGGGGAAACCTGTTCTGAAAACATCTGAGTGAGATGTCACATATGTGGTATCTCATGACAGAACACCAGCTTAACTGATTTGTATTGATTTTTCTTAAAGTGTACTGTAGCTGGCAATTCAATTTTTTTTTACATGCCATAAATATATTAACGCATTTGTGCATTTGTTTTTGTGGATGTGGTTGAAACATTTCTTTGAGATGATTCAGCAATGCTTGTGGGACTGATAGAAGTTGTTTGTTACTAATCATTTATTAATTATGTTACTTCAGGAGAGCAACATTAATCACAAATAGGTAAGGAGGAGGAAATAGTAGAGGAAGTTTTTTTTCCCTCCTATTTTCTTCTAGATTAGAAAAGCGTGGAATCTAATGCCCTTATGACAGTTGAAATACTAGTAAAATCATCAAGCTTTTTTTGCAAAGAATTAGATAATGCTGCTTTTTATTTGAGAGCGATGGCTTGTCTTGTCATAAGCTTTTCAGTTTCTAACATTGTCCTGGTTTCGGCAGGGATAGAGTTAATTTCCTTCCTAGTAGCTGGTACAGTGCTGTGTTTTGGATTTAGGAGAACAAAGTTGATAACACACGAGGTTTTAGTTGTTGCTAGGTAATGCTTACACTAGTCAAGGACTGTTCAGCTTCCCATGCTCTACCGACTGGGAGGGCTGCAGGTGCATGGGGGACTGGCAGGGGGTCACAGCCAGGACAGCTGACCCCAACTGACCGAAGGAATATTCCATACCGTGTGACGTCATGCTCAGCATATAAAGCTGGGGAAAGAAGAAGGAAGGGGGGGACGTTCGGAGTGATGGCGTTTGTCTTCCCAAGCAACCGTTGCACATGATGGAGCCCTGCTTTCCTGGAGATGGCTGAACACCTGCCTGTCGATGGGAAGGAGTGAATGAATTCCTTGTTTTGCTTTGCTTGTGTGTGCAGCTTTTGCTTTACCTGTTAAACTGTATTTATCTCAACCCACGAGTTTGCTCACTTTTACCCTTTCGATTCTCTCCCCCATCCCACTGGGGGGGAGTGGGTGAGCGGCTGTGTGGGGCTTAGTTGCCGGCTGAGGTTAAACCACAACAAACATCTTCATGCATGGTAGCATAAGAGAAGAGCCAAATTTTTTTTACATGTAGATTAAAAGATTCATTTTAAATAATACCTTCAAAACTAAAACAATGATTGGTATTGTTATATTGACAAGAGTTAGTCTGAAAATATGCCAAGGCGTATTCCACTGTGCATATTCCAGTGTTCAACTGTAGTTACAATGACAACTTTGACTCCTTATTTTATGTAGAAGGCCAGGTTACAGAACAAATGAAACATTCTTCGTCGTTAAAATGCTTGGATGCATTTTTGCTCTTTCTGAATTCACTTCTGTTGCTGTGTTTGTTTCTGAAGGCACATAATTAACTGTTTGTTTTCAGTTGCATGTTGAAAATAAGCTTGCTATTGTGCATTAAAACCAGCAAGTAATTAGTTCTAGAAATTTTGGTTGCTTCTGCAGTGCAAAATCAGGGAGATGGAAGACAGTGGAAATTAAATTGAAATCACCTGTAAAAGAGAGGAGACTCAATTGCTGAAGTTTTTTCACTGTTTGTTAGCATCTCATAGTTATGAGATGCATTCAAAAATATGAATCTGAGTTACTTAAGCTGGGTGATGTACTAACTTCAAGAGTTAAATGTTAGTGTCTGTTGGAGTACATGAGTGCTGAAGCTTATGGGCAAAAAAACCTAGGCTGAAAAACATCTCTGTTTGTAAGCAATTGGTCTCAAATGAGTTAGCAGTCCTGGAATGTTCGATTAGCACTTTTTTTTTAAGCCAACTAGAAATGATAACAAGATGCTGAATCAGCCAGAGATTATTACTAAATATTGGCATATTTTCATCGAATATTTTGTATTTGTGGAATAAGGCAATTCAGGATTGACTGGAATTACATGAATTTGTTGAATTCATTTGTAGTTTTTTCCCAAGACCTTGTGTGAAGGAACTGGCAGTTGGTTTTGTAATACTCTGGTTTTTCTTGTTCATAAATTGAAAATCTTAAAAAGAAAAAAAAAACTTTTTTCAACTTTGGCAAGAAAACCAAAAATGTTTGTTTCAGGTTGACCGTATTTTTTTTTGGCCAGTAATCACGAGCTGCTTGTGCTCCTTATTACAATTAAGTTGACCATAATTTGTCAAGACTTTATTTTAAGTTGTCTAATATTTACTTGGAGACCATTCAAAGTGAGGGTCAGACAAACTGGATTTTTTTCATGTGTGCATTTGTAGGCAATGCCTTTGCAGAACTGTTAGTAGAATAAAAGAATAGAATACTGATAGCAAGTAAATCCGCAAGCATATTCCAAAGCTTCTTGTTCTGTGTTTTAATGTGTACTAGCAAAGAGTCTTCATAATTTTAAATAGCAGTTCTGCTTTATGAAATTTTCATAAAATGAAACTGTTTATCGTTTTGATATGACAAGAAAGCTAAAACGTCTAGAAAAACATTTATACAGAAAATGCATGACAAGAATTACATTTTAATGCTGGCTTCATAGGCATGTCTTGCAGCTTGAATTTCAAAAGCTAATAGCTTTTTGTTAATGACTGAAATATTGCCTCTATCACAGTCCATGACTTCCACAGATGATGCTGCTTGAAAGTGGAATTCTGTGTTTAAAAAGTAGATAAGAGAAATACTTGCTGAAAAATTGCTTTTAATTTGCACTGCAGTTATCTGTAGTTTGTGTAACTGTCTGCAACTTAATATATTTATAGAATACAAAAATGCTAAAAACAGTCTCACACATGTACAGAAGTTGGCTAGCACTGGGGTTATCACATGCTGGGACTGCAATAAGATAAATACATTTATCAGCTAAGACAACCTGTTGTAAAGACATGAAATACTGGAAAAGATTTTACTATGTAACAGGTTAGAAAATGTTTTAAATAGAATTTGCTTAAATGCCTATAAGGGATCGTTTATCATTCTGATTCCCAAAATACCTTTTTCTTCCTTGTATTTTTTTTTTACTAGAGAACATCTAGACTGGGAAAGCTAACCCAGTATGATTGCAGAGCCTCTTTTTCCTTACATTGAAGAAAGTAAGGTTGTGACATGAGAACCCTTCTTTCCTAGACACTGTTTAATATTTTCTAGTTGAAGTTGTGTGTTGTTAGATTCATTGTGTTCAGGCATTTGAGTATCAGTCCTCCTAAAAGGTAATTGATTTTTTTTTTAATTATTATTGGTTTATTTATCCATTTGCTTTTAAATAGGAGAATGGTACTGCTGTGCTGTTGTCTTGCTAAATCTGATTGAAAGGATCCATTACTTCAGTTCTACAGTGCTAGCATTATCGTTCTGATGCAGTTATCTAGGGAAGTGGTCATATTGTGCCTGGAAAGACAAAACCTAATGTTCAAGACATATGGAACCACAGGAGGATGTTATTTTTATCCTGCATCACTTTTCCTTGTGAAGCAAGTCAGATGAGACATTTTAAAACAATGTAACACTCAGTACCTGATCATTACAGTCATCTTAAAAACAGATTGGCCTCAAGGATTAGTGAGTAAAACTATAATTCAGCAAAGGTTAAAGTAGATCACTAAAACATACTTAACTTAACCTCTTTGATAGCTGAGACTTGTTTTTTCCTGGGGAAGAAATCTGGATGCAGTTTCACAAACCCTTTCTTACATTTAACTATTTTCTGTCTGTATTTAGGAATTATAGAAACTCCTTCCTTAAATTCTGAAATGAATTTATACTGTTTGTACTGATAATTAATTTTTTTTAAAAAAGCCAGTTAAGGATTTTTTTTATCCACGAGTTTTGTTTCATTAAGAAATAAAAGATCACGCTGCATTGGCTGGAAGGCTGAAGTTAAGTTCTGCACATTTTTCTGATATTCCTGGTTTTCCACACAGGTATACAAAATACTGGTAAAAAGAAGTCCAGAGGAAAGTTGGGTGGTTTTCAGACGGTACACTGACTTCTCCAGGCTTAATGACAAGGTGAGAATTATACACTAGTAAATTCTCAGCTAAGTTGTCTCACTCTTCTTTCATGTTTCATTTTCTTTGTCTCATGGTTTTTGTCACCTTTTTTCCTTTCTTGCTTTATTTACCACATATAAAACATACTGTATTAATGAATAAAAAACATACTATTCCTCATTTTTTCAAAGATACTTGAAACAACCACAGCTAATGTAAAGAAGGTATGTCTTTATCTGAAGCTGTTAGTGTGCTTCATACTTTATATTTATTCCTAGTCTAGGTGATAAAGGAAATTAACTTTTTAATAGTTGTATCCCCTGCATGGAAATAGAACTAGGGGCCTGTATTCTGTTGCAGGAATGATCCAGTAATTATTCAGTCCTTTTCAGTGCAACAAGCTCTGCTTTTTTTCATGATAAAACTGAAGTTTCATGAACATAAGGAGTTCGTTGTATGTTGGTCAGTCTTCAGTTGTTTTCAGTGTCTTGGAAGTTAATTGTGAAATACTGTATCAGATCTTTAAAGCTGAAGACAGAGACACCGGGTAAATAGGAGTTCTGGGTCAGCAATTTAATATTTTTAGAACACTTGAAAGCAAAAAATGTTTGTCTAAAAAGCACAAGTTTTTTTTAATTGGTAAATAGCGTTTGGCTATCCCATTTAGCATTATTTCTATAGAAGCATAAAAGTAGAAAAACAGAATTACACTTTTCTTTGTCCTGCTGTCCACTCCTAACAATAATCTTTCATTGCAAGTTTAACACATTTTCTGCTATTATGTTCTTTCATGTTCGAACTTTTAACTTTTTAACACTCCCTTTTTCTACCCATAGTAAGGAATTTTTTTTTTTATACCTTTTCTTCTCCTTGGATCAATGTGCCTAATCAACTAAGTACATAATTCTGCTGAGATTTTGAATATGGTCTTGAATGTATACGTTTCTCTGGGTTCTTGGTTTGACCTATTTGGATATCTTTTAGGGTACCTTCAAAACATCAATGCAGTCTAAAACTACCACAAATTGTTAAATGTGAATTAGTTTAGAGATTTCTTTCTGAAGAAATTTCTGTCTTTTAATTGAGTCTATGCTAAATTAAGGAATGCCTTGGTATTGGCAAAAGCCTGGCTTCTTTTGAGATGATGATGTTCTGGGGATTTCAACTTGAATTTCAGAAGTCAAGTCATACAGCAGTTTGTATTTTGGTCAGCTATGTCAGATATAGGTCAAGAACTGGCTTACATGCATTGACTTTTAGTGTGGTTATCAGCAGTTTGAAAAATAAAAATGCCACAGGTATTCATTTTAGAATAGATATTTAGATTTTACAAGTGAAGTCTTTAGTCTTTGCAGTCAAATCTTTGACAAAAAGGTTTGGCTTCTAGCACAATTTATAGGTATTAGGATTTCTGTTTAAAAAGAACTTTTATTTTTCCCTTGTGTCACTGACTGAAGCTTTTTCATCTTTCAGTATACATCTAAACTTTTATTATGTTACTATTCTGTAATTCTCTAGAAGTTTCAGAATTATGGTATGTTCCAGTTCCTGGAGCTGGCATTTCTGTATTATAAAAAGCATAATGTTTTACAAACTGAAGAGTAAATGGTTATATGCACACCTCAGTGGTTCAAAAGGCATGGTGCAACACTTGCAATTCCTTGTTCTCTAATGGCAAATACAGACATGAAGTTGCATGCGTGTATACTTTCAGGATTTTCTGTACCCTATCTCCTAGAAATCCAATATAAACAAGAGAAATATACTATCTTATAAATCCTTTTCCCCACCATCCTTCTTGAGGTTGGTGGCAAATCATTCATTCCCTGAAATGGTATCAGAAACTTGGCATTAAATGCCAACTGAATTGAATAATCAATCACTGTGAATCAGTTCAAAGTATTAACGGAGAGGGAATGGCTTTTCAGGAAGACCAGGTAAAGACAAAAGAGCAGTATGTTTTGTATGTGTCAGGCATATACTTACTCGCAACTCCAAACTGAACTGAGAGATGGACTTTGGCAGTGACTAAAAATGGAGAAAATGTGAGAATAGGAACGGTGTCACAATGGGCACGTGTAGATAAAATCAGGGCTAGATGAATGAATGCAGCCCAGCTAACTAATAGAAGAGCTAGTGAACTTTAACTAGTTCTTTAAAGAACTAGTGTTCTTTATTCGTCCTGATCTCTCAAAGAAAATAAAGAAGGCAAAATAGGTAGCCATAGGATCCTAGAAAGTGTTTCATACTTCCACTAGTTTCTGAAGTATTTTTAGTAAGGAACAGCTAATAAAATAGAAATGAATGGGAGTAAAAGAGCTCAAAACCATGAACTCTCGTTTCATGAATGAAATGAGTAAGTGCAGCAGCAGGTTAAGACTTGAAAAGACCAGATTTCAAGTGTGAGCAACAAGTTATTTGAATGACAAAGCTATCTACTTTCCAGGCAATTAAAAGGTTATGAAAACTCCATACATACTGAAAGAAGACAAATGGAAGATGATGGCAAAGTAATTTAATGTAAAGGAAAGATGAGATATTGCCAGTATGGGTACGCAAGAAGCCACATAATGATCTCGAAGTCAAAAGTAATTAAAAAATACAAGTAGAGATCAGCACAAGGAGAGTAGTACAGACTTCTAAAGACTAAGGCAGAAGTGCTGAGATGCAAAATGGACTGTCACAAGATGCTAAGAGCAATAGGTAAAGTTCTATAAATCATTAGAGACAGAGGTAAGGGAAGGAGGCAATAAAATAAAAGATCTGTTACTTGAGAGCAGACTATGGGATGCAAATAGCGAATGATACAGCAAAGACTGAAATACTGTCTTTTGCTGTAATATTAACAAAAAAATTAATCTTGGTGGATGTTGGAACATGACAATTTGAGGGGTTAGGAGCAAAGGCTGAAATACAGACATTTGGCTAGGTGCATAGGTTTTGTTTGTTAAGAACACCTAGTGGGTTGGAGAAGTACGTGAAAAATACTCTTTGGTCCCAAAAAATTATGGGAAAAGAACGTTGTGAAGTTTATTACTATGCTGCTAGAGATGTTGAACAAATAATGATATGGCCAGTCTTAAGAACCAAGAAGTTAACTATTTCTCCCTCATACTGTGCCTCATGTGACATGCATAATCTATCACGTGATGATGTGGGGGAGAGACATCTAGGAAAGGCGCTGGATCGAAGCAAGATACCACAGCCAGCATAACTCATCTGACCCACAGTTTTTCCTGCTGTGTCTGAGGAGTGTTCAAGAAAGAATGCCCCAAGACTCTGCTGTTGAAAATAAGTCTGCTGACAGCAGCTAGCTTTCTCATACTCTCTTCATCCACAAAAAGAGTAATCTGTAGGTATGCATACTATTTCCTTAGAAATAAATTACATGATCTACATAACCAGACAAGGAAAATACCATTAAGCAGAAATCTGTGTGGTTGAAAAGCTTTCCCAGCAATGGTTATATGTGGTCCTCTCCACAACTAACACAGGAACTCGTTTTGTTATCTTTTCTGGGTTCAGTTCTATTTAGTATTTTATTAACTCAAGAGGGGTTATGGAGCATAGAGGATACTTACATATATGGTATTAATGGTAACTTGGTAAGAGATGAAGGAACTTTGGATGACCAAAGATAAACTTAAAAATACCAAGAATAGTCTAATATCAAGATGAAATTCAGTAAGAGAAGAGGAAAACACATACTTAAATAAATGCAGAAATAAAGAGCAAGGCCTTGACAATAAACCATTCTATAAATAAGAAGCTAGTAGTTACGGGCTATTTGAATATACAATACTTGTGATATTAAAAAAGCACCCTTCTTGTGCTGTGAAATGGTACTTACATGAGCAAGGGTGATCTACTAACCTGGTTCTTCCTTTAAACTGTGTAGAGAGATTCTTGCTGAAATACAGTATCTGTTTCAACTTTTTAAAAACTTAATCTGCTGAAAGAGCTACCCATTAGCTTTTTTCCATGAGTCCGTAAGGAGTAGTTAAGTAAAACTTATTGTCAGAAGGCTTAAATTTTGCTGTGCAAGGATCAAGACACCCACTGAAGAATTACCTTGCAGCTATGTAAACATTGAGTGCTAAACTGTTTTCAAGGCAGGTTCTGGAATCCCTGTCGCTGGAACATTCATACAAATATATTAGGTGTGTGCGGTACATCCCTGACAGAAGCTGGCTTGATCCTGTCTTCAGAAAAAGATGTAACAATTCTTGTGGCAGTTGGAGGAACATTAGATTTTGTAAAACCTGTTTGCTTTTTCCTGTTGGTTATAAATACTCTTTGAGATTTTTCTGTGTCAAGCATCCCTTCTAAGAAAAGGCATCTAAAAATTGTTTCTTATGAAAGCATTAATGTTTTTTTGATCTTCATGCATATTAGAAAAATAATTAATTGGCACCCTTGGACAGGTCCATCGTTACATAATCTTATGCTTCCATTCACTTGCGTATTTCATTTCTGAATTAGAAGAAAAATTCTAGGTATTTCTGACATTGGGTATACCCCATTACTATTTAAGTAACTCAAAAATACAGTTTTGCATGTTAGTACTAGGGTTTGAGCCACACCCATGCCTATTGAAATTTTGATATTCTGGATGTACAAGGAGCTACGCTTTACTAGAAGTATCTCAGGCATGTGTTGTAATTAATTCTGCTAGCCCCCCCAAAAAGGCAAGTTGCAGAGTTGTAGGTCTGTAATGGGGTTTTATATATTTTATTTATATAGTACTTACTATCCCTGAGTACTTTAGAAGAAACACCACTGAAATGCTTACTCATCTGATACTTTTTACTTACGTACAATTTTCTTATATTTACTGACTCAAAGGCCTTAAATAGCAGACTCGGAGACATGAAATAACAAAGCAAAATTTTTCATTCCTATTTTTATATGGTAAATTTAGAGGTCATTTGATTGCATAAGGCAACACAGCAAGTGACAGAATTGTGTCCACAATTTATGCTATAATTTGGATTGTACTTATGATTGAGACTTACCTTGTGCTTGAACTTAACAGAAGACAGAAAGATCCCATAATTCTGAGTAAAGTCAGTGCCTGTGTCAAATTCAGTATTTCATGAAGACTTTTTTTCTTGGTTTTCTTTGGCTTTGATTTCTATTTCAGCTAAAAGATATGTTTCCGGGCTTTCGGTTGGCCCTTCCACCAAAGCGCTGGTTCAAGGATAATTATAATCCTGACTTCTTGGAAGATCGACAGTTGGGACTACAAGCATTCCTCCAGAACCTAGTAGCTCACAAAGATATTGCTAACTGGTATGTGATTAAACTTTCCTTGTGGATTTGGATTTTTTTGTGTCCAAACTCCTCATATAGGCTCCTAGACTCTAGCAGTATATCTTTGAGCAACATAGTAAGAAATTGCATTAACATTCATGTGCATTTGGTCATTATGTGAATTATTTAGTGTCCTATTAAATTAATGCCATCTTAACCTAAGCAAAAAAGGGGAATTGCAGTATTTTGAATTGTACATGGTTAACTGCTAACTAAAAGCTGTAATAATTGAAATGTTAGACTAATCCCATGTTTACTCCTAAAACATTACTTCTGTGTGCCGAATGCAGAATTGATACATTGTTAATTTATATTGAGATTAAATGTTAGGCTTTCATAATGGAAAGTACCTACACTATCATGCAATTAATTCTTAAATGTTTATTAAACTAAAGGTTTTTAATTTACATGACATGATAGTAATAGAAGTACCTTTATAGATTGCTTTACATAAGTAAATGTAAACCACAAATCAAAAAAGGCTTAACAAGAGTCTGAAAAACATGATGTGTTTAAGAAACAAAGTCCAGAAGTCTCTTTGAACGGTATCTTTTTTCATACTAAGTGGAAGATTCTTCCAAAGCTGGAAGATGAGTAGAACATAATTCTGGCAAATGAAATGTAAGATCACTTTAATATAGGCCAAAAGAGAATTTTAGTAAGCGAGTTGCTAGAGGTAGAGCGGCTAGTTCTAAAAACCTTTTCCAACACCAGAAATAAAAAAGTTGTGAGGTTGCTGTACCAGAGATACTTTGGGGAATGAGTCTGAGGAACTGTCCTCATCTGAAACTTCATTAAAAAGGGAGAGTAAGAAATTCTCTAGAGCAAACAGCATTCCGTCAAGAATTTTAAAGGAACTAAAATGTGAAATTGCTGAGCTGTGGTTTGAGACCATCTAATGCTCATATCTACTTCACTTTTTAGTAGAATGGCTATTATTACATTTGCCACGTTTTTGTAAGGCATTTGACTGTTAAGTCTGGGGACTAAATATTAGTAAGTCTGACTTTTGGTACTGCTTGTAATAAAATCCCCAAAGTGGTAACCACGTAAACAAAAATAGTACTTAGAAAGCAATAATGTCTTTTTCAGAGGGAAATCTATCTTACAAGTAGTTATGAGGAAGCTCGTATAAAATGGTTGAAAGGCAAGGGGAAAAGGGTTGATGGAAACTTAGGGATATTACATATAGAATGCTGGATCACAGTTATGGACACTGATGTTCAGAATATCTGGAAATTATCTGGAAAAGGGAATGGACAGTGAGATCATGAAGTATTGTAGAAGGATCCTGAGGCACTGAGTTACTAACATTAAATTTCACGTCATGAAGTGCAAAATGACAGTAAGTACATACATACAGATTCATAAACTCAGTTGTTTTTTTCAACCTGGAAAATAACTACTGATACGGCTTTCTAAATCAGTTCAGTATTCGGCAATAGTCAAAAAGTTGCATAAAAATTGCTGAAGAGGAGCTTGCAAGTGGGGGGAAAAAAGTTATTGCTGTGGGAATCTGAATTGCACTTCCACGTAGTCCAGTGCTGAAACACAGCATTCCATTTCAAAAGAGGGTCTGCTGGAAGTACAGAGAAGGCAAGCAAGAACAGATGGAGCTACAGACTTTCCTGCAAGAAGAGTACTGTTCTCTTCAGTCTGTTGTCTTGGGAAAGGGCTGGCTAAACGGGGCATATGAAATCATCAAGGGGATAGGGAAGACGAGTAAAGAATGTTAGCATTTTGAATGATTCATAGTCATCTCTCAATATGTCACACTCAGTTGTGAAGCTTTGTTGTGAGATGTCAGAGACAGAAAGCTTAAATGGTTTCAAAAAGAAATTGGGATCAACCTGTGAGTTTCTCTGTCGGTGGCTATTAAACATGATTGTACGGGTGAAATATGTGGCCGAGAAGTTTAAGAACTTCCTGATTATTAAATTACACAATAATAGGTGTGCCAAAAAAAAGGAATTGTTCTCTCAGTGTCACTTATGTTATGCTGCTGGAGACACACTGGTGTGCTGGATGGACTTTTAGTCTGCTTGAATAGATCTGAAGGCTTTATGCTTCATGTTGTTGCAGCTAGTTTGGTACTTCATCTAGCTTGCTTGTGTCTTGATGATGGTCCATATTGGACAAAATAGTGTTTGTCATAATTTAAGGCAAAAAACCCCAAAACATAACTTTTAGACTGCATCACTCATCAGATACAAAAGGGAATGTAAATGTTTGTGGAATCAGTTTGTACTTTGGTTAATGAACAGATAGTTCATTAACTGAAATGTGGTTTTGAGGAAAACTCTGATCTTGGCTGTGTAAGGCTCTGCATCAAGATTAAGGCTTTTTAATAAACTTTATAACCTATTGGTATGGCTTATGTTGTAATGTTTGAATCTGTGGAAGGTCTGGATTCCTCAGGAAGTTATTAAAACCAGGGAGACTTGATCTGTCTGATTTTTTTTTTACCCACTTAGAGAATAAAAGTTATTATTAATGGAAATTTAATATTTGCACCTTACATGAGCAGTGGTGAGCATCTGACCCTGCTTCCTCCTTAAAAGCCCACCATTTAGTTCTACAGTTTTGCAAATAGGTCAAACTGCTTGGGTTGCACCAAAACCAAATAAGCCTTTTCTCTTTGTAGAGAAATCTCTTTCGTTTCTCTTTATACACTGTATTATCATTGAGACATATTGACAGTGGGAAATATTTGCCCTTCAGGGATAGGAGACCTCAATTGGTATACCTATTTTTTAATAAAACCAAATTCACAAGTAGTTTAAAGATCAAATGTAGGATGGTATGCAGGTGACTAAATTTAGATTCTGCATTTTATGGATTTCTTCTCATATTTTGCCCTGTATTGAAGATTCAGTGAAAGATCAAATTGAAATCCACCCACAGAGTTCAATGCATTCAAGAAAATTTCATATAACCCACGAAGTATGAGAAAGAAGTTTAACCTGCTAAACAGAAGTCATCTGGCTTTATATAGATGACACAGCTCTCCTCTGCCTCCACCCTGTGTAAGAAGGTTGAAAGGGAGGAACTCGGTCAGCTGTTGACTCTTGTCAGGGATTCCACGTGCGGCACTGCCCCTTGCAGCCCTTCTTAATGCTGGTGTACACCGGCATTGCTGCCTCTCTTGAGAAGGATGTCAGCTAGCATAAGAGCAAAGAAAGAAGCCGTGTACAGCAATCTGTTACGTGATGCAGAAGATTTCTGTGATACTTTCAAGGCAGAATTTTCTCCTATTTGTTAAATGAAAGGAAGAGGTGTAACACATGGAGGGGAGAGCAGGGTCAAAGCAGACTCTCAGAGCAAAGCTAGGCTGCAAATGAATGTTTATGCCATCAGGTGCATATTTTAGTTAAAGAAACCATGTTTTCAGTGACCTGTGGCTTTAAGGTTCTTGCCTTCCTTATGTAAAATAATGAATCTAAAGCTTTCAATTTCAAGAAGTTTTGAAAACTCTGGAAAAAGACAGTTTTCTGCCAGCAGCTGTGGGGAAAACAAAAAAATGGGTTTGACCTGATGTAAGCAGATGATATATATAGATTGGATATTTTTGCACACGTATTTTTCTGGATGTTTCCTTTTTCACTCACAAGCATTACTGCATGTTGTGCCATTTTAATGTTACCCTTTAATACCACAACAAAATTACTAGCAAAATGTAGAAATTAAATACTTTTAAAATGTTTGAACTGAGCTATGTGAATAAGGATGAAGATGTTGAAGAAAAATGGTGAACAGAAGTGTTTCCATGTAACAAATTCTTCTGCGTTAGGCATATGTGAGTTCATTCAGAACAACTTTCATCTTTATGAAAAGAACAATTCAACCATTAAAAAATGGACTTGAGCATCATGTTGGAAAAGGGTCACTTCAAACAAATTAAACTATTTGGAGAGGGGAAAAAAACCACCCTGCTCTTCTCCTTGAAAATGTACTTTATATGCCTGAAAAACCTTTCGTTTGGTTTGAGGTTATGTTTTTCTAATAATTTAACTAATGACTTGTTACCATCTATCATTTTTTGTGCTAATTGGAGTGATAGTCTTGGTTTAAGTAGCAGAAATTTATTTGTTTGAGTACATGGGAGAAGATGTTTTAATAGTACAGGTTTAGGCTATGGCTTGCACAGATCATGGATTGATGAATGTAAAGCGGTGGAGAGGGCTTGAAAAAGGAAGATTTTATCACATTTGTCACATAGATTCAGTGGGGAAAAGAATGATCATAATTATAGGAGTCTTTTTTTCAGGTTGGTGTAAAGGCTGATGAGGTGAAAGTGGATACGAAAACAAGAATTCTCACCAACCATTGGCCAAAAACCACCTGTATCTTCACATGTGCAATAAGCACTTGAAAACAGGCTTACAAAAATCCAGCCTCAAAATAAAGGTTCAATGTATGTTAGATAAATATTTTTCAGAGGCTTTCTAAAACTAAAAGTGATGGCATAATCAATGATTAGTGTTTGCTGAAGAAACTTCTCTCCCCATTTTGCTTGCTAAACCTGAAGCTGTTTGATTAGATTAGTAACTAGGTAAAAGAACTTTACTTTCTGGTGTTTGTACTTTGTGTCTGCCTCAAATGCAGAGAATCAGCAGAAGGCAGAAAACTGCTTCCTTTTGCCCTCACCTTCCCACAGGACTTAGGTGGGAGGAAGAGATGGGTGATTAGTTTGGATTCACATCTTCCATTTTTGTGCATTCATTGCAGTGGGAGATGATTTAAAAATTTGTAGTAGTGAGTGCAAGCACAGAATTGCTAATAAGTTACTACTTGCTAATTAATTGTGAATACAGTATTCTGATTGGAAGTTACTTATAGATGACTGAATACAACAGAGCAGGAAAGGTGAGTGAAGGGACATGTTTGGAGATGTTGAGTTCTGTGAAAAGTAATCTAAACTTGGAAGATAGAATGAGCAAGATGCTCAAAATACTCTATAGTAAACCACAGGATTGCACATACTTCCTTCTTCTGGCCTTTGCAAAACAATGCATAGAGGGGAATGACAACCGTTACGCAGTTTTACGCAACTTTAAGTTGAATGCATTAGTTCGAAATGTGTGTTTAGAGATGCTATGTAGTGTATCCATGGCACACTAACTTTGTCACTTCTTATTCTTTTATAACTTACTATTTTATATATATAAAAAAATTATATACTTTGTGTATATATATAAAAATTATGTACTGTGTATATGTCAGTGAATTATGATCTTAGCAATGGAGACACGTAAGCGTGTTTCAGTACCCATGCTTAGTTCCACTGATACTTCCTGAAGGGATCTGCGTATGGTTTTTAGCAGCATACTCTTTCATCCATCTTTGAATATTTATTTTTCACCAGGTGAATTTTTCAAACTTTTTCAATACCAAAAGGATGAACTTGCTTGTCAGTTGTCATGTGGCAACAAATTCTCTGAAGATTTGAAAAATCATGTTGTAAATTGACTTACTCTCTGTTTGAAAACTCTTAACTGTACTTGTGCAACTTCTTAAGTCATATTTTTAAATACTGTCCCTGGTTAACACATGCAACTGAGACTTAATAGTTTGTTAACATTATTTTGAATACTTGGGAGTAAATTTGAGGATAGATGTTTGTGTCCCTTAAAGAAATACTGCCTTTATATCATCATATTTAAGTATTGTTGCTTTTTTGTACATCAAGTAATTCACTCTCTTTTATTTGGTAAAGCCTTGCAGTGAGAGAATTTCTTTGTCTGGATGATCCTCCAGGTCCTTTTGACAGTCTAGAAGAGAGCAGGGTAAGTGCTATGTAGTATGATTAAAAAGAGAATGCAAAAGGCAGTAGTTGTTGTTAGGATATTGTAAAATCTGCTGAACGGTATGAAACACTTTTATTTCTGTTCTTTCACAAAAATTTGCAAATGGATGTATTTCTAAAACTGACACAGTGTGATTATTGGTGCACACTGATAATCTTTGACTGCTGTACTTGATCCCTATCCCAAGTTATAATCTCCTTTTTGCCTCTTACAGTCAGTGGATGAAACTTGTTTTTAAGGCAGCTACTGAATATAAGGAGAGTTTTCATAGGTTTACATTCAACTCATCACAATGTGTACACCTTAGACTTTAGGTCTTGTAGTAAAATGTTCTTGCTATGAAATGTAATGAAAGGATTAATTCTGACCACCAAAAATAGTGTTCTTGCAGATAACTGAGCAGTGTCAAGTAGTGGTGTAAAACAGCACCCTTTCAACATGCATATGAGCACATTGAACAAATAATACTGTATGCTGCAGCCTATTTTTATTAGAAGTATGCTTCACTGACATGCAGAGCTATGCCAAGTCTGTCTAGAACAGGTTGTCTTAGTTTTCTTACTTTATAGAATAACAATGTGTTTTGGAATTGCACATATGTTGTTAATGCTGTAGAAATTATGAATGTTAAGTGATGCTTCTTCAACTAAATTTGTACTTACCAGTTTATTTTGCAAGTAAGTGGGAGCACCTTGGCTCTTGTTACATTACTATGTACATCTGAAGGATTTGGTATGTTTTTTGTGTTATGAGCTCATATTTGATTTCTATACAGTCACTTTTCATCATAACTATTTAAGTTGATGAAAAGAAATTACAGGAATTATTTGTTCAGATAATTAAGAAATTTAAGTGCTGCCTGCATAGAGATTTTGATCATGCATGCCGTGGTGAAGTCTCAGGGTTATTCTTCCACCTAGCGTTTTAGGCAAACTATTAAAATAGTTGTGCTGTTGTAGTTTTGGCTATTAATCATTTTTCTAAAGTTGTCGGACACAGCTGTCATAAAATTCTGGTCTCCAAGGGATACCCCACTTTATTACAGAATGGTTGCCGTAATAAGGGACCTCTTGAGATCATCTAGTCCAACTCCCTTGCTCAAGCAGGATCAGATAGAGCCAACAGTCCAGGAGCTTGTCCAGCCAGGTTTTGAATTTCTCCGAGGCTGATGGCTCCACAACCTGTCTAGGCAGCCTATTCC